TAGGTCGCCGAACTCCAACTCAGTAGCTGGGTTGTCAACAGGTCAGCCTCGTAACTCCAAGTTCCTAGGTTCTACCCCTGTTGTGGTAGTAGGTGCACGCTGTTAGAGTGTCTAAAACTAGAGGAAAGCAACCATCCAATACACCTTAGTTTTCATTGATTCCCTAAATGATGCCTGTCCTTGAAGGATTCTACACTGAATATAATCAAGATGCCGAAAAAAAACATCCGAATTCTGAATAAAAATAACAATAAATAAATTCATGAACAGTGAAGACCTTTACCATAATAGGAATGTTGAAGGCACTGTAGATATACAAATAAATGTTTAAAGAGATATAACAAATAGATCTAGTTTTATACTTATATCAAATAGATCAAGGCTTGAAACATCGAATCTTTTAATATACTATGTATACAGTCAGTGATAATAATCGCAAACTGTGTATTCAGAAGAAGTTCAAATATAAATAGTATTCTGTTGCTAATGCCATACTGAGTTGTGAGAATAATATTCCGTTGGAACACATTGTCCGTATCATACCATCACAATACTACCAGTATTTTCAGCCATTTCATTTCCTCACTACACCTTCATTCAAACCTCACTTTATAATTCCATTGCACCTTAGTGGTATGTAATCTTATCATTCCTTTCGAGCTTCGATCAACTATGTGTGTTCGGAAACTTTTACTTCACTACATCTGTTATTGTTATCATTACTATTACGTATAATTGATCGACCCCCTCCCATCTTGTCATACTATGGACGATACACCCTAACTGGTTTATATTTGATAGTGTGGAAAATTCCCATATTATGAATTAAAAGTCAATCTGAACGAAGAATATTCTTTTCAATAATTTCTCTTCAGGTTCTTACAATTATAAAATATAATATTTGTTGTCGTTACAATAAAGGCCAGTTATGCGGCAGATTCAGCCTAGCACGTTTGTCACACAAATATGACTATTTATTTTGGCAACCCATAACTAATCTGTTATTCTACGTTAAAAATGGTTTATATTTGTCATATATAACGTTACATAGATTGTAGGCTAAAGACTAAAGAGATTCAAGTGATTACTATTATTATTATTATTATTCACTTGTGTTCCGAGTGGAACGTAGGTATTCAACTACACATCTCCACGTTGTTCTATTTTTCTCCATCCTCGTCAGCTGGCTACACGATTGACCATAATATCTCATCTCTTCACACGACCTCCATGTCAGCCTCGCACCGACGACCCACTCGTCGCTTCCCATTTGGATTCCACTCGAGCGATGGCCTGCATTGAGCGCAATGTCATGCGACGGCTTCAATGTGTGCCTGATCTATCTCCATTTTTTCCTACATATTTGTTGGGCTATAGGCTCTTGGTTGGTTTGTTCGCAGCCAGAGTTTCTTGTTGCCAATTCTTTCTGGTTGGCCATTTGAGTATCAGTATAGAGCCAGTGAAGACAGCTGTTGATAAAAGTCTGCAGCAGGCTGTTGGGAATGCTTTCCATAGTGCGCTGGACAAGTTTCTGACCCGTATAGAAGAAGTGACTGGCCTAACATTTGTGTTTAATGCCCAAATATTGTTCTTTATTCTTAGTTCAGAAGACATTCAAACTGATTTCAGAGTGTGAAGGTCTGTCTTCACTTTCCGATTCTGACTCTGACATCTTCGTCCGTTCCGCCTGTAATTGAAACGATGCTTCCCAGATAAGTGAAGGAGGCGACCCCTGTTTAATCTCTCCCTTTTATGGTGATTGGTGCTGGTTGTTGTTGCTGTTAATTGGTTATCTTCATCACCCCGTCTTCTCTGTGTTCACCTGCAGTCCTGTTTTCGCTTGCAAGTCTTAGAGTTTGTGTGACATTAGACATATATCGTCTGCGAAATACAGATCTTCTAGAGTCTTCTTATCGGTCGTCCAGCGTATTCCTGTCTTCTCACTCCCCATGCACAATCTTCCGCATAATCCAGTGCACCACAATTAAGAATATCATCGGTGATAATAGGCAACCAGCTTGTCTTACTCCTGTACGCACTTCGAACACCTCTCTGAGTTTTCTGTTGTGGATCACTTGACACGTGGCATTCTCATATAGCCAGCTGTTGAATGAGGATGATAAAGACTTGCGGCACTGCGCACCATAGTGTTGAAGTGGTTTCCAAATCACTTCTTGGTCAACACTTCAGCGACTTCGAAAAGGCCTTCGGCAGACATCGAAGTATGCGCTGAAGATGTTGCTCAGTAGAGCAATGAAAGCTTCGCAACCAAACCATCCAGCTCAGAGAACACAACCACACCAAAACAAACCATTTTTAACGTAGAATAACAGATTAGTTATGGGTTGCCAAAATAAATAGTCATATTTGTGTGACAAACGTGCTAGGCTGAATCTGCCGCATAACTGGCCTTTATTGTAACGACAACAAATATTATATTTTATAATTGTAAGAACCTGAAGAGAAATTATTGAAAAGAATATTCTTCGTTCAGATTGACTTTTAATTCATAATATGGGAATTTTCCACACTATCAAATATAAACCAGTTAGGGTGTATCGTCCATAGTATGACAAGATGGGAGGGGGTCGATCAATTATACGTAATGGTGAGGATAACAATTACAGATGTAGTGAAGTAAAAGTTTCCGAACACACATAGTTGATCGAAGCTCGAAAGGAATGATAAGATTACATACCACTAAGGTGCAATGGAATTATAAATTGAGGTTTGAATGAAGGTGTAGTGAGGAAATGAAATGGCTGAAGATACTGGTAGTATTGTGATGGTATGATACGGACAATGTGTTCCAACGGAATATTATTCTCACAACTCAGTATGGCATTAGCAACAGAATACTATTTATATTTGAACTTCTTCTGAATACACAGTTTGCGATTATTATCACTGACTGTATACATAGTATATTAAAAGATTCGATGTTTCAAGCCTTGATCTATTTGATATTTAGGGGGCTGGTATCGAACGTTCGCGAGTTGTACGGATTATACTAACGCAAGATCTTATACCAACAACCACTATAGTGTTCGTTCTTCGAGTACCAAATGGTAAAGCAAAAGACCAGATTTTGTCGTCCAAATACGATATATATTTCGGGACAAAATCGCGGGTAGAGGTGAATGCTTAGCTAGCTAGTAATCGTGCACGCACGTGACACGACGAAGCACCAAATGGCGGGGATGCTTGACCGTAAGCCTTCAGCTAAACAAGTCGACTTAAACAGTGGTGGTCAGCATCCAATGTTGAGTGATGATTGCTGTGGTTAATAATTTTGGGGAATTATTTACCGCTACAGCTCACTCCCCCCCTAGTGGGTTTGTGAGGACCCTAAGACATGACCAACCGGAAGTAAAAAAATCTCGATGGTTCCCTGATGGGTGAAAAAAATCTTCCGAGCGGCTTGGTCGAGAGCCTGCTGGTCTGTCTGCCTATGCTAATAGGGTGTCTGTACATAGCTTCCTCAATGTTGTTCGTTGGATCCCGTGCTTCGTTTGTTTCCTGTCCAGTGCCCGTTGCACCTGGAAAAGAAAACAAGAATGCTGAGAACCTTGTCAAGAAAAATGTACCAAATAAGCGTTTTTTTTTACCAAAAAAAAATTTGACATGCATCTACTATACAGTAAAATAATGTAAAGTTCAAAATATCGGGAAAAAAATATATACATCTAATTTAATTTTATGTACGGTTATAGGAAAAATATCATTTACTTGTGTTAAATGACGCAACATAAAAAAAATTAGTGTGTCACTCAGTTATGTGAAATAGGTGTGAAGGTATTCTGGGAATCTAACGTGACGTCCAGAACGCGTTTTTTTTAGAGTGATCAACCGAAGTAGCCAGTGGGCGAATGCCCTGACAGTCAATAGTGTGACCCAGAAAATCGAGTGAGTCAACGCCTATTTGACACTTCTGTTTATTGATGGTAACACCATGTTGGCGTAACCTTTCAAATGCCAAGTCCAAGTGTCTAAGGTGAGTTTCCTTATCTGGACTGGCAATGAGGCAGTCGTCTAAGTATGCGTATACAAAGTCGAGACCGCGAAATACTTCGTTGATGAAGCGTTGGAATGTTTGGGCCGCATTCCGGAGGCCGAATGGCATACGTAGGAATTCGAAAAGTCCGAAAGGCGTGATGATAGCCGTTTTCGGAATATCTTCCGTTGCCATCGGGATTTGGTTATATGCTTTAACCAAGTCGATTTTGGAGAATATAGATGCTCCAGATAACGTTGCCGTCAAGTCGTGTATGTGAGGCAAAGGGTAGCAATCAGGGGTTGTTTTGGCGTTCACTCGCCGGTAATCACCAGTGGGTCGCCAATCGTTGCTATCCTTTTTCGGTACCATATGCAACGGGGATGCCCATGGACTATTCGATGGCCGAATGATGCCAAGGGTGAGCATATGATCGAATTCGTTTCTGGCAATTCTCAGTTTGTCAGGGGTCAGTCGTCGTGCTTTAGATGTCACGGGCTGTCCTGAGGTTATGATGTGGTGCATAACATTGCTGGTTATGCACGGGAGATCGTTAGATGGGCAATTCAGTTCCGGATATTTGTCAACAATCGGTTGAAAAGTTGGATCGAGGATTGCTTTCATCTTAACGATTGACAAACTGGGGCCTACGTAAGTTATGCCTTTGATAGACAAACTAGCAGTGTTGTCAATTAATCGTTTACGGCGGACGTCTACGAGCAAATCATGATGATTAAGTAGGTCCGTGCCAATGATGGGCATTGTGACGTCAGCGATTTGGAAAATCCACTGAATAAGTTTGCGTAAACCTACGTTCAGATAGACGTATTTCCGACCATAGGTTGCAATTGGTTTTCCATTTGCAGCCTGTAGGTTGAAGTTAGGATCCTTCTGTCGATCTGCTGCTGTAGCAGGAAGGACGCTGACTTCAGCGCCTGTGTCGACTAGATATCTAGTCTGGCTAATTACATCACGGATGTAAAGTAAGCGGCTAGTGCCACCGGCGACGGTTGCCGCTAACGCGTGCCGGCGGGATAGTTTCCCACAGACTTGGAGGCTTTGCCGAAATCACAAGGTTTTCGACAACATTTCGCTTCCTTGCCATAGGTGTTGTGATACCAACACCAGTCAGGATTTTTGAGAGAGCGTGTGTTGGACTTAGATCGTCCACGTGCACTTTGCCGTTGAGGGGATTTAGAACGACGATAGGAGGAATTGCTAGGCTTGTTTGACCTAAGCATCTGCTGGACGGAGTTGCATAACTCTATCATTGCAGAATCCTTTCTCGAAGTCTGTTCGGTAACAGAGTATACTTCAGTAACTGGCCGTTTCGTTATCTCTAGAATTCTATCTGCAGAGACAGCTAAATCATCTATGAGAACACCCTGAAGTGTCACAAGTACAGTCTGAACTGACTGTGGCAGTTTGGATAAAAATAGTTCTCTAAACAGTCCTTCATCGAACTGACTTTGGCCAATGATCTCTTTCATTCTTGCCAGCATGCTCACGGCTGACTGATCTCCTAACTCGATGTTACGAAATAACTCATCCAGACGTTGTCGATCTGTGAGAACGTTTCTCTTGAGGATGGATGCTTTTAGCAACTCGTACGAGTTACTTACCGACATCTGCAGAGTTACGCACTTGCTGAATTCCCGCAGTAGGTCGTGAATAACTGCAAGGAACTGTGAACGTTGATCAGTTATGCCATGTTCACAAAAATCAGACTCAGCAATCTGAAACCACGTTTCAGCATTATCGGGCCAATATGGTACTAGCTGGATTGTTTTGGCGGCTGAGCGAATCTGAATAACCTTGGGGCTAGGATCACTCATGACGAAAAGTATGCCGATAACAATATAGTACAAGAATAAACACAAAAAGGAACGAACTCACCGGGTTTATCTGTGTGTGAATTGAAGATGTAGTTCGTGGTTGGGCTCACCAGTTTAGTGGTTGCCTGTAGTTCGTGGTCGGGCTCACCAGTTTAGGGGCTGCGGGTATTCGAACGTTCGCGAGTTGTACGGATTATACTAACGCAAGATCTTATACCAACAACCACTATAGTGTTCGTTCTTCGAGTACCAAATGGTAAAGCAAAAGACCAGATTTTGTCGTCCAAATACGATATATATTTCGGGACAAAATCGCGGGTAGAGGTGAATGCTTAGCTAGCTAGTAATCGTGCACGCACGTGACACGACGAAGCACCAAATGGCGGGGATGCTTGACCGTAAGCCTTCAGCTAAACAAGTCGACTTAAACAGTGGTGGTCAGCATCCAATGTTGAGTGATGATTGCTGTGGTTAATAATTTTGGGGAATTATTTACCGCTACAGATATAAGTATAAAACTAGATCTATTTGTTATATCTCTTTAAACATTTATTTGTATATCTACAGTGCCTTCAACATTCCTATTATGGTAAAGGTCTTCACTGTTCATGAATTTATTTATTGTTATTTTTATTCAGAATTGGGATGTTTTTTTTCGGCATCTTGATTATATTCAGTGTAGAATCCTTCAAGGACAGGCATCATTTAGGGAATCAATGAAAACTAAGGTGTATTGGATGGTTGTTTTCCTCTAGTTTTAGACACTCTAAAAGCGTGCACCTACTACCACAACAGGGGTAGAACCTAGGAACTTGGAGTTACGAGGCTGACCTGTTGACAACCCAGCTACTGAGTTGGAGTTCGGCGACCTATTGATTCTGATTTCCATCAGTTTGCGATATAGCACTACTCCCACCCGATACCCTCGGTAGGCGTTCACCTCACTTCGCCAAGATGGACCCCACCGACAATATATTCCCATTAGAACCTCAAGACATTCATCCTGTAGTGCAGATTCCGCCACGACACTTGAACGAGGCATCTGTCTAGTACCTCTTATTTTTCACTGGCTTTGTAAATGCTATTGGTTCGTGACAGAAACTACACTGAAATTATCATTATTATTATTATGACGAATAAATGCGAGACTTAAAAATTCCATTCCCCACCCCGCACACACACACCCGCGGAGACATCGTCTTCTAATTTCTCTTTCGCATCTAGTATAACTGGACTGAAACATTTCACTTAAACTTTTAATTATTCAGACAGTTAGTGACATCTGACAGATAAATTTGTAGCGTTGGCTGTGACTGACATTTTCAACATCTACTCGAAATAAAAAACAGTGATGTGCAGATCTCCATAATATCTCAGTATCTCCTATTCAGGGACTGAAAAAATGTATTCATTCTTGTTTTGTTGAAATGTCCCTCCCTGGTGGCTTGACCTTTTCAACTTTTGTTTGAAAAGCGGGCTGACTTTTTTGTACATTGGATTTATAGTTTCCTCTTTGTTTGGTCTTTATGTTTTGTATTTCAATCAATTTTCTTTCTCTTACATTGTAGTTACCAGATAAGCCCTTGTCTGTTCTACTTTGTACAATGTATAGCCCACTTTGAAAGCTTTACTACTTCTTCGTAAAATATTTTTATCTGACCGTGTATGGTTTTGGAAAAATGTATTGAGAGAATTGGAAAATAATAAAGCATTCAGTCAGATTCAAAACATTGATTTGTAAGTGCAACTGTTTTTCATAGAACTGTAATCTATTTAATTTTTCAGTAATTTCATGAAGGATTCATACTAATCACTAATTTTAAAGTACTCCTTGACACGTGTCACTTCTGATTGGGTGCTCAAGGTCATTTGGCGGTTTGTTGGCTGTAGCCACTATTAGATTTTCTGTACACGGAAAACAAAATAGCTTTTAAAAACATGTGATACAAAAATCGAACAGAAGATTTATGTTGAATCATTAAATGTAATCTCTCTTCGTGTTTATAGGCCATTAATTAATAAGGAAGTTTATTTATGATGTTGATTGTGTGTTATACTGGTGTGCATAATGCTTGCTTTGAAGTTGAACCGAATGACTACTGCTTATTCGATTCATCTCTTTTCCACATCTATCGATTATCTTACTGAAATATTATTCTGTTTGTCCAGAAGTTGTTCATTAATGCTAACTTTCAATTCGCGAGTTATCCCTGGAAGAAAAATGGAGGATTTTAGAAGGAGAATAATAAATCCATTGGAAAATTTATCCCTCATAACAGTCATAACAAACAAAATTGAGCTTCACACTTTTAGAAAAGTGTATATTTGGTAATCTATTCACCTCTAGTATGTCGTCTTCGACTAACTACTATCTGCTAAAAATTCCGTAATAAGTTTATGTTTTTCACTTAAATTACATTTAGTAAATTTTAGCAGTGCAGATAGAGTGTATATTTTCACAACCTGTTGTTCTATTCACCTTTGTCAGCTTGATGTAGTCTAGCCACAATAACAGGACTTCTATTTAACAGTTATTATTCAATCATTACTTTGTCAAACGAGATAATTGATGATATGTATGACCTGTCTTATTTTCCAATGAATCATCGGTATTCAGTTATCCAAGTTACTTCCAGGTTCCTCAGGCATATTCGTCTAATTCTCCTAAAAATAGTCAAACCTTATAATACCCAACAATTCGAACAATAATATCGTTCCGAAATTCATTATAACTACTAACAATAAAAAAGAGATTGAGGTCCTTATCATCAACAGGAATCGAACAAAATCTGCACCTAGCCCAGGGAACACAACTAGATTAAAAGGATATCATGTGAACTTTCAAAGAACAACAAATTATACAAAAACTGGAGAGGAATGATACTCTCGTCCACTCAAGGGAAGTATTAAATCACATACATGCCTTGGATGCAAAACCCCTCCCGCAATAGGTTGGATTCAGGAAGCACGTGTCATGTGCAGTTCGAATTGTAACAGTACACATCATTATCAAACAGAGCCTAGAATGGCAATCAAATTTCTATCTCGGTTTCATCGACTTTAAGAAGGTCATCGATAGAGTTGACGGAGAAATAATTTGGCCACTGCTTCAAGACTGTGGAATGCACTACCACAAGCCTTTATGAACCCAACTCAACAGCCATGTGGTGATGATGCCACATGCGAAGCAATTCACAACAGAAAGCTCAGTGAAGTCTTAGAATTGAGGAGAGGAATAAGACAAGGCAGTCTAGTATCACGGATGCTACTCCTGATCGTGGTGCACTGGGTCATACGGTAAATCATGAGTGGGAAGTGAGAGAACGGAGATGCAGTGGAAGCACAAAAAGACCCTAGGAGATTGGGATTTCACAGATTATCTATGTTCTGTCTCTCAGAAACCCGATGATATACAACCAGAGGTCAACTAGTTGCCGGAAGAGGCAGAGGAGACAGGACTTCAGTGGACGTGGAGAAGACAGATATGATGAAGACCAGCGAAGAATAACAATCCACATCAATGGAACAAATGTCAAGGAAGTCGTCTCTTTCACTCACATCAGTAGCGAAATTTCAACTGCTGGCAGACTCCATGGATGAGGGAGTTGTTTGACAATGTCAGTCAGTTGAGTGGGATGGGAGGCGAGGGGTTGGATGTAGGTTTGAGGGTAATATTGAGGATATTATGCGAGTGGGAAATTACAGCTTGTGACAGTTATGGAGGCAGAGAATCAAGCTGAGTGGAGATGTGCTTTTTAAGCTCTATGCTCTGCTGTGAACCGTAGAGGGATTATTATTATTTGTTATTACCTGTCGGTCAAATCGTCTAACCATTATATTATGCTAACTAAGAGGATTTCAAGAAAGCGTAACTGAATTAAATTCGTCATTTAGAAATTACGCAGTTCCAGATGAAATTTTATCATGGTTTTATTGGAATGAGTGTTTTTCCCACTACGTATACCAGTCAACAGAACGTTCCACCTTGCATTTTCACTGGTTTCCTTTATTGTCATTTATGGAGTATATTGGATTTTTGAAGGGAAGCCATGACTAATTTTAATCTCGAACTGTACAAATAACACTCGTTGAGTGTAATTTTATGTATTATTGGTCTTCCTAAACGGTCACGTAGAATTCAAGTGATTTGAACCAATTCACTTTTCTCAGCTGAGTCTAACCCGGTACTCTTCTGATGGGCTAGGTTCCAAGTGATTGAAATGGCCGTCTGGTGTTTAGATCACATTGACATTGCTAGGGAGCGCTACAGCTTTATACGAATGGCATCCAAATGTGCATTATAATCATTAATATCTATCACCATATACTGATAGGTCTAGATTTGACTTCAACTTAACCATATTTCAAATGTATGTATGAGGGAAAGGCTTTCTAATAAGAGAATATCTTGTTTTCGTGAGATGAATCGTAGCCACATGGATTGAAAATCATGTTAATGTAGTAGCAAAATATTATGAGGTTTGTGTAAATTAATTAATTACTCGTCGTAATGATAATAATAATGGTAGTAGTGGTAGGGATAGTAATTATATCGATAGCATTGGTAAGAACAATAATCTTTTTCTGTGTAGTCCTGTAATGGAGTGGAGATGGAAGAGAACTAATGACGTATAGGAGAATTGCGTGATATGAACACTTTGTGAAAAGGAGAAGTGAAACAGAGAAAACATAGATAAATGGTTATACATTAGGATTGTAATATGTGGATAATGAATGTAGTGTGTTTTAGTTATGCAGTAAGCTAGAGATGGCAGATTATTCGAATCAATATTAATTTTAGTGTAATTCTTTTTGTAGACTCAGCCATTCAGGGGATTTCATGGAAGCCTTGTTTATTAGGTCACTCAGGACTCGGTATATATCACAGAAAGCCTTGATTATCTTCATTTTGTCTTTATTTTGGCTTATTAATTCAGCACTGGGTAGGGTTGTTACCGAGTAGAATCACAGGGACAATTATTTGGTGATTTACATATTCGAATACTTTTCAAGTCCAGTTGTTAATTTTAGTGAAGAGTTATCAAAGTTTTGGCTGTTTGAACTTCTTAGAGTGACACTGCAGTAATACTTAGGGTATGATTTTATTTCTTCACACAGTAGTCTAGAGCTTAGTGTCATTGTGTTGGTTTTAATTCTGAGGGAGAAAGTTTTCAGCTCTCAGTTCTCTCGAGAATCCATGATAACTGGAGTGCAGCAAACTGTGGGCATGATGGCAGTTATTAACA